TCCCCGTTATGCGTGGTGGCTGCGCACTGCCCCGTGAAATTTGTTAGCTGCAGTTTCGGTAACTCGGAAACTGAGAAAGCTGGGAACATGGGATTTCGAGGGATTGTTCCCTGTCCAAGTGTAGCGTGGACAATTAAGTTCCCGAAATTCGAGGACCAGTATATACAAGAGGTTTCTAGCTAGCGGAACTTCAAGTAATCTTATTACAGCAGGAAACACTGCAAAAACGCATGATCGCACGGGGCCCCCCAGTGCGCGTCGCCAATAATTATCCCTGGAACCACGAAATCCACGAAGCTGAAATTTTAGGGTGATGTCTTCTGTCCACATACAATCCCTGCAATTTTAAATTCAGTCTTTCCCGAGCGTCCGAGTACCACTTACGGCCCCGAGAAAGTTTCGAAAATTATCTCGGGGACCGCGGAAGTTGGGAATCTGAAATTTTGAGGTGGTCTCCTCTAACAACGCATAACCTCGCAAATTTGGATTCAGCCTTCACACACTCCTGGGTACCACCTATCGCCCTATGAAAATTTTGATAGGGGAACTATTATGTCGTGAACAGCAAAAGCGAGAAGGCTGAAGTTTCAGCGTAGCATCCCCCTGCCCACCTACAACTCCGCAAATTTTCAATTTCCTCGTGAAAGTTTTGGCGAGAAAAATTAATAACTCGGGAGCCAGAAGAGTTACGAAGTTGAAAATTTCTGAAGACTACTTCCTACCTAAGCAGAAGCTTCGCAAACTCGAATTCAGTTCCTAAGTATGCCGAGTGGAAGTTTTGTTTCAGTGATTATTCGAAAGCCAGAAAATTAAATTGAAATTTTGGAAATATATTCACCGCTCGAGGTTCCAAATTCAGCTTTCACGTGCCAGTGCGCGAAATTTTTAGTGGAAGATTTCGCAACTTAGGGATCAGGCAACATTTCAACTATTTTTGCACAGATCAAAGTGCAAAGCAGTGGAAACCCTTAGCAGGCAAACTTAATAAATAAAACGCATGATCGCGCCGTCTGCCATAGTGCGCGTCGCCACCTATTCAATGTTGCAGCATTGTATCCGCCCAGATTTTGGCAGACTGCTAAATTTTCAAATATGGGCAAAATTTCTCGAAATGGCTCTTCTCAACTTCCAAAGTTCAGTCTGAGTTCTCTCGGACCTTGCACGGACTCCCCTAAAATCTACGTCACGTGCGCAGCGCGCGCGACATGACACTACGCAGGGTAATTGTCGGCCGGAGTTACCCGGACGGCTGGATCCGGCCGACGCTCTCACTGACCACTTGTACAAATGTTGCCGCCAGCTCCTTGTGGGTTGCTCTTATGGTGGACGGTAGATTTCTTTTTCTAACTACAGGTCTAACTTCGATCTCTAACTACAGGATGTTGGGCTAAGACCTATCCCGGTCTTTTATGACAAAACAATAATCTGTTACCGACTGAGCGAAAATTTTCGATGTCTGAGACGCGACCAATCCAGCAAACAAGTCGGAGGTGCGCAGCTTCCACTTTTTTTTCAAAATATCAGCACATTAGCTCAGAGATCTAGACCGCATTTGAAATTTACCCAAGTGATACAAGCTAACGTAATGCATTCGGTATGCCAGCGCACCCTGATTACATGTTAGTGGAACTGGAGCTTTTCTTATCCCGCGTACGTGAAATGTATGATCTTGCAGACAGGATATTGCGGTACCAGAGACGCGGCCAAACCGGTAAACAAGTCGCATATCCGCAACTTTCCAACTTTTCTCAAAAATCAGGCTCCTTGAAGGTTTGGGGGGAGGGGGGGGAGGGGTGGTTCCATAATAGTTTTGGCGGGTAAAATTATTATCACGGAAACCATAGAAGCTAGAAGGCTGAAATTTTGTGGGTATATCCTCTGCCCAAGTACGGCCCAGAAAAGTTAAATTCAGCCTTCCCGTGGCCGCGGATAACACGTACGACCCCGTAAAATTTTTGGCGGGAAAACTATTATCTCGGAACCGCGGAATCTGGGAAATTGAAATTTTTGGACAATAACCCACTGCCTACATACAACCTTGCAAATTCAGGTTCAGCGCTCTCGGGTATCATCTACGACTCCGTGAAAGTTTTGGTGGGGTAATTTATTGTTTCGGGAACTACGGAAGTTGGGAAACTGAGAGTTTAGGGCAATGTCCCCTATAAACGTCCGACCCCGCAAATTTGAATTCAACCATCACGTGTCCTTGGTACCATGTGCGGCCCCGTGAAAGTTTTGGCAGGGAAATTTCCTCCTAAACTTCAATAGCTATGGGACTGAAATTTTAGCGTGGCATCCCCTCCCATGTACCCTCCGCAAATTTTCAATATAGCCTTAGAAGTTTTGGCGAGAAAAATCATTATCTCGGAAGCCCAAAGAGTTAGAAGGCAGAAGATTTCAGGAGAATGTTTCTTGCCCAAGTAGGGGCTTCAAAAACTCGAATTCATTTCCAATGTATGCTGGGGTCTCGCATACAACTGCCTAAAGTTTTGTCTCATTGATCAATTAAAAGCTAGAAAATTAGGAAGTTGATATTTTGGAAGGATATTCACCCTCTAAGGCTTTAAATTCAGCTTTCACGTGCCGAAGCGTGAAATTTTCAATTATTTTTCAGCACTGCAACTATTTTTGCACGAAGTGCAAAGCAGTGAAAATCATTAACAGGCAATCGTTCAGTGGACGGAATTGCACAAAACGCATGATCGCACCGGCTATTCTGGTGCGCGTTGCTATTTATTCTCTTTACTGCTGTCTGCAGTTCTTGCCTCGAACTCCTGACTAGTGCCCTTGTCCGCCTTTTTCATCCTCTCCTTCCCCCCCCCCCCCCCCCCCCCCCCCCCCCCCC